TTTGAATTTATATAAATAATAAATTTATATAATAAATTGCTAATAAAATCATGTTTTTATTTTTATTGATTAAAATTGATAATAAATTATTATATATAAACAATATTTAAAAATTAAAATGTATTTTTAATGGAAAATCATGGTTTTATTGTATAAATTCAAAAAAAAATTTATATGCTTTTATTATAATTTATGAATTAATATTCAAAACTTTATAAAAACTTGAAAATAAAACCTGAAAATAATATTTTATCCTTAAAATTATATGTTAAAACTTAATATTATAAACTAATTTTTTATTAATAATTTACAAGAAATTTTAAAAAATTATTTTTTCTTTTAAAACCTGTAAAAGGATTTTAAAATACAACAAAATTTTTTATTATCTTATAGAATTTAACATTATAAACAAGTTAATTATCATATAGAAGATTATTATATTAATAAAAAATTAACTTTACATAGTAAAATACTCAAAAAATTATTATTAATAATTAATGAGTATTCTCATACTTTTCATCAGTCATTATATTTTAAAACCTTTTAAAAAAATAGTTAATTCTAATAGAATACATGCTAAGGAACCTTTTTTATTATAAAACTTTTTTTTGATTTTATATGTTCAAAAAAAAAGTTAAAGCCTATTTTTACATTCTTGATAAAAACGGTAAAAAAAACGCACCACCACTTTGGCGGATCGACATGGATTATAGACGAACTGACATAATATGTCTGTTTATTTACCATTTGTAGCACAGTATTAGATGTTATTTGTCCGATTTCAAAAGTTTGATAATTTATTTATTATATCATTTCGGTATTATTTATTTCAAAAATAGAAAATCAAATCTTTACAAATCATACCTTTACAAAAAATTTACAAGTATACAAAAATCCCATCCCGTGATGCTATCGCTATACATAAATCGAATAGTAAAATAAATGCTATACATAAATCAAAAACAGATATATAAACGCTATACATGAATCGATCGTAGACATATAAATGCTATACATAGAAATAAAAGGTGGGAAATAAGCCATCTCATTGATGTGTTTTGCATATCTGCATGTGAATGAAACAAAATTCGAAACCCCCAAAACCACAAACCCACAAACGAACCCAATTTCAGAACCCAATAAACATATCGTTTTCCACCGACCGAATCTTCTTTGCCCAGAACCGATGCGTCTTCGAGAACACATGTTCCTCACCAATTTCTTGGAATCCTTCATTCAACAACTTTATATACTCTGCTTCTTTTAGTCCTAGCGAATCAGCGACCGTATCACCAAGACACTCTGCACCCCATTTCACAAATTCCATATTTGCTTTGCCGATATTTCCACCCCATTTCCCGATTGGCGCGGCTCGCTCATCTTGGTGTACTATTGAGAATTGACCGCATTGCTTGATCATTTGTGGCATGAGTGGACTTAAGATTGGTTCTATTCCTCGCTGGTGTCTTAGGAGCTCGACGACTATAAATAAATTGTTGTAATAAACGCAAGAAATATTGATTAATACTACAGTCAACTCTCGATATAGTGAAGGACTAATTAAACTCTCGATATAGTGAACGACTAATTAAACTCTCGATATAGTAAAGTTGAGCTCAAAAACAGTATATATTAAATACTCTCGATATAGTGAATTTCTGAAAATTTTTCACTGATAGCCCAAACACCTTCACTATAATGAGGTTTGACTGTACAAGTAAAAAACCAAAAAATTAAGAACATTTCAAAATACTAACTTTTCTGTCGCAAATCCTTTACGCACGCTGGTTCGTTATACCATACAATGTCACCTTCCATGATTTCTAGCCATCCATTGGGTTTCAAAACTCTTGCTAATTCCGGTATCACTTTTTCTTGCCAGTCTTCAAGTGTCAATACAAACATCATAAACCGACAATATACGAAATCGAATGTGTTATCTATTTTTTTTTTGCACGAAATTATGTATTACATTATTATTATTATTATTATTATTATTATTATTATTATTATTATAATTAAATTAAATTATGAATTGATTTATATTCAACAAACCTTCAAACGGTAGTCCTTCAAGGATATTCGAAGCAATAAAGCGTGTATTTTGTGGTTTAATTTCCTTTGGATATAACGTCGCAATATCAATTCCCGTAAAACATGCCTCTTCATATTCTGTTGCATTTTCCAATACCCACGTACCAGGCCCACATCTAAAAACTTTCAAATCAATATACATGTACTACAATAAAATATTCCACAAACATATACCCACACATACCCAATATCCAAAACCCTAGCATTCGTTCTCCGCAATATTTCATCAACCGGCGCGGAAAAATTCGTGCCCCAAACCTCTCGAAACAAATAATGTCTCATTTGCATTAACGCAACTTCATTCTCACTGACCGGGAACATATATTTATGACGTCCATTTGCATCGAGCGGCGCAACCACTTCGATTTTATCTTCATCGACTGGTGGTTGTTTTGGTACTTTAGGTTTCGACTTTGTTGACACTTTTGTAAGTGATGTTGTTGGGACAATTGCTGCGTTTCTCATTAGAAATTGTACGGCGCTTCGTCGCCGTTTATCGTTTGATAATGATTTTGAATGTTCGTTACCCATTACGTATTATTATCGTTTCTTTTGATTTTCGATTTTTATTTAAAAACCGTTTCGAAACGGACCAGACCTCTATTTCTATTTATATATGTTCGTAAATGACAATTTAACGTATCAGTGGTTCACACACATTTGTCCGGCACATGTTTCTGTTTATTGTACTGATCAGCATTATCAGAATTTAGATTCTAGCATATGGCAATTATTTGATCGCCTTTTGAAACCTGCTGAATCATCGTCATTATCATATTTCGTGTGGGGAAATTACACGTTAATGAAACTTGCAGATCAGAAGCGCGTGCATTAGAAGAAAAAGAAATGTGTGGAATAAACGCGAAATTATTTTTTTATTATTCGCAGTTATTGAGATATTCATGGGGTCAGGAAATTAGATTTTTAGGTTTTCGCTTATTTTACTAAGAAAAATAGCGATAACGATAAACCTATTGATCTTAAAAAAAGACCTCAAGATGCTTTTCGTTCCTTCATCCCGTGCAACACTCTTTTTGCATGTTGCTAACAGAGTTTTAATTTTCACACCAAAATAAATATTTATGTATTATGAATTCTTTCTAACGCCAAGTATTCTAAACCCATCCGTAATCCTTTTGTTCCTTTGATAAATAATCTATTGAAAATTGAATTTTAATTGTGAATGGCGTTTCAGAATTTATTGAGCTAAAAAAATCGTGAATTTTTCGTACAAAACGATCAAACATCGAAGATCAGTCGCACAGTTTCTCTTTATGAAAACGGGGTGGGAAAATAGCATGATAGTAAAATGAAGCTTTGGAATGATTTTTGAAATTAGGTTCTGAAAATGCGGGGCACAATCAAATCGGGTACTTTTATTTACACGGGATCAAAGCAAAACTGAAGCTTGCGTTGTGCTATGAACTCGGAGTAAGAACACCAAAGAACTTGGCGGAAGTATTTGAAGTTCATTAAAAAAACAGCGGAAGCCAGACTGCTAAGTTATGCTTTCTTGCTACTAGCGAGAGGAGCCGAATTGAATGAATATAAAACATTTGAACATTAGCTGAAGTTACATTCATGTACACATTTTTTTGCTAAATGTTGTGTGTGTGTTGAGTAAGATTATAAATGGACGCTCTGTTCAATATAAAAGAAATCTGATACATGTATGTTGCACCAACCCTAAAGTTTTAATTACGTGTAGAAAAATTGAATCCCCACAAAAAGCCTAAAGCTAATGCGTATATATCATATTCGTGGATGTACTTCCTAATTAAGAAGTACATGTAACCCTCATAGTCAATCGTGCAAGTTCCAAAAGCATGTGCTTCTTCCAAACACATTTTGATTGTAACTGTTTCATTATTCTTTTAGAATATATTACAATATTGAAGAAATATTACAATATTGAAGAAATATAATTACTTAATTTTAAACATCAATCAGGAAGTCGAAATTTATTTTACTCTCAATCGAATTAATGCCCCAAGATATTTATTCTCTTCGCTTTGAAGATCAGATCGTAGCATTCATCGACCAGATGTAAATGCTAATAATTTTTTCGCACAAGGGTTCAGATTATAAATTCGCCAAAGGTTTACAGATTATAATCCTCACTAAACTTGGAGGATATAAATCGAAAAAACATTATGCCTTCGCAGTAAATGAAAAATTTCTGTTTGGTAACCAACTTTTGACTTTTCGTATATTACTCCAGTAAACGAATTTAGAAAAGTAGCATAAATTTTGCGTCATACCGTCTATAAATTACGTAAACCTAATTCAGAAAGAAATGCGCAAAAGATTCAATAGCGATGGGGGAATTGATTACCAGCTGCGTAATTGACATATGAAGGCAGTAACGGTAATTACTTGTGTAAATCTATTCGGGGTGATTTCTCGTGCTTATTTCACTTTTTTTTTTTTGATTAACGTTCGTATATATCTGAGTTTGGTTTACTAGTTGTCATTTAGTAAAAGTCGTTTGATTTGATACTTTATTAATCGAACTATCGATTACTATCGATATGCAGGTACAACGATATTTTTACAAATAGAAAAGACGAAATGTATTACTAAAATATTAATGGTTTTCTTGTATCATTCGATAGCATATATATTAGAAATCAAAAAATGGACAACTAGACTGAAAAATAACCTATTGATTCTTTGTTCTCCTTTTATCAAATCCTGTAAACGTAGACTTAAATTATAATCCGGTTCAAAGAAAAAGATAACTTGCTCAGTGCCACTATCCAATTTTAACTTGTCAAAATAGAAGTCTTTGCCGTGTTTACTTTGCTTAGTTCCGAAATCTCTCTGTAAAGTTCCGGTTAATTCGATGATTTCTATTTTGTAAATGTAAATACACTACCCGGACCAAAGTATTTGATCACATATTCATACAAAATCTTACACAATAATAAAAATACAAAACATTATATCATCCAATTGGATTAAGGTCAGATGATTGTGAAGACCAATCAGATAATATTTTTAGCCCAATCTTGGAGTTTTTTGTTTTTGGCATTTTAAAGATTGGAAAAAATAATTTTTTTGTTAAATAAAATTTTTATTTTTCTAATCACTAAAAAGATAAAAGCATATTATTCTTGACATTATTGTGGTTTGTGTATACTCCAGAAAATTATATTGTAATATTAAAGGTTAATTACAAGGTCATGATTAGGGTTAGAGTTATACGTGAAATTGCCTCCTCGACATTTTTAATTAGTGTTCTAAACTAGATTTAAACATCTGTTTCCCCTGGGTAGTGTATATATATACAAGTGACTCGTTATAGTAAAGACCAATTAAACTCTTGATATAGTAAAGTTCGTCCAAAACCAGTCTATAATAAATCATCTCGTTATAGTAAATTTTTGAAGATTTTTTACTAATGGTACGGATGCCTTTACTATGACGAGAGTCACTTGTATCTCTAATTAGATTGATTTTATTCAACAATTATCGACAAGTAAATAAGTATCGACTTATCAGAACAACAACTAATTGTATTTTCTAGAGGCTCATATATTATTGATTACGTGGGCAGTAAAGAACAAATCTTTATTATACGCGCAAAGGTTAAGATAATCACAAATATAAAGGGATGCTTCTCCATTTAGTTTCTGAATAGATGTAAAAAGACACGTAGAGTCACTCACTATTAGTGCTCCAATCGGGTCGGGTACCGACCCGAAATATTTCGGATCGGACTAAAAATCGTTATTTCTCGTTCAATATTAATTCAAATTAAACGAAAATTAGTAAATATATACCACAATTACATTCCGAACAACTCTACTTAAGACGCAAAATACAAGCGTCTTAGTAAAAATAAAAGTTATTAATGAAAAACTATTTTACGATTTTCGGATCAAACCCGACCCGAACAGAGCTTTACTCATTATCCTTTATAATTAAAATATCAATACACTGAAAATTTTCTATAATTAAATTCTGTTTGATATAGTAAAATTACTAATAAGCTCACAACATAGTGGATTTTGAAATTTTTTTGATACACTATATAGAGTTACTGCGTAATCAATATCATTATTCGAATTGAAAAAAGCTAATAGTCGGATAATCACCCAATGTTTGTTTTCATTCGTTCGTCCCGTTCAATATTTTCATATAAAAATAATATTTCTGCCTATTAGTTTTTACGTGAACCCGCACAACATAATAAAAAATTGATTATATTGTTAATTTAGTGAATCACTTAGCTTGTATTCTTGTAAATCGCATAACGACACTTTTGCATTCTAATTTGAGGTTGTAATTTTTGTAAATTACATAACGACACATTTACATTCTAATTGAGATTGTAATTTTACAAGACCCTAACCTTTCATCTTAAGTTTGTGATCCACACACTTCTTGAAACAAAAGAGTCCTGCTACTAAAAAGTCAAAATATCAAAATATATGTTTTATTATTACTATTAAGGTTCTCTTCAATATGACGGGTTTGATTTAATATTAAATCATAGCATTCAGGGTATTTTGAATAAACTAATAATAATAATAATAACAACAACATGCAATATGCCGGCACTTCGACTTTCACTGTAGGACTAGGAAGCTCAGACTTAAACTGAATATCTATTTGTACGTCGTCTAAATTTGCGTAATGCTCTTAGTGAATTTGATTTGAAGTATCAATTTAGCATCATCAATGCAATTTCAAAATTGAATAATCATTGTACTTTCTGATATTAAATTCTCTTTCATCGTTTGCTACGTTGACAGAGACGCGTTGAGAGAAATTCCACAGTTTATTCGAAAACTCATCGAATTAATAACAGGAACAAACCCAATTTGAAGTTGGGACCAAAACGGTTTAACCCTTCAATTATTAAATCGTAGGACTGTGACGCTGCGCCACAAGTGTGAAATGGGTTAGTGGTTATAGTAATCAATTATATCACGTGCTATTAGTGGCACAGACCAATAAAAATGCATAAATTTTTCTGACACAAGAAAATGAAAAAAGCAAAAAATATAAAAAATAGTTGTCTAAATCTAGCTTACGTATAATCTTAATTCCAGCTCAGATTTAACCCTTAATTCTAAGCTTTAACAATAATTTTTATATTTTCCGGACATACACAAATATCACATGATCATATATGATCGCGTGATCACCAGTGATGATCACCGCCGGTGATTTTCATTTTTGTTTAAATGAAATAATATCCTTTTTTTTGTTCAGTATTCTAAAATGCTCGGATCAATCAAATACATTGTTATCAAGTGAACCAGAATTAGGTAATACATTGTATAATCAGGTGAGTGCGAATATTATCTTGTCCGAAGTTTTGAGTTATCGATTGCTGATTCAATTTTCAATTTTCCATTTTCTTTATTTAGGATTATTAAATCCTCTAAATTAGAAGGTATTGATGAGGAATGGTTTAGGGTCGTTAGTTATAGAGTTGCTGAAATCTATTAGTGTATATATCTTTTTGTAAGATGATCAATAAAAAATAACAAAGAAGCGACTACTTACAAGAATCATTTAGCAAGAGCTATTCCTAAGCTTAGTTATTTTACATGTTTATCTTCCTCTTGCCACTAGCATTGTGACGTCGCTTATTTATTAACTTGATTGGTAGAGGTTTTTTTGATCATGTGACTATTTGGACGACTTTGAGTGAGCATTTTAACATTCTTAATTATGATGTATTGATCGTTATCAAGTCAATACATATGGTTAGTTTAAGCAAAGTTAGTATGGATGGGTCGAAAAGTATATGAAGTACACCATACTTCGGAAAAAGGAAAAAACCATAACATACTGACATTTTATTGCCCGTACTTGTTTGACCCGACAATACGTACTAACGTAGGATCTGTCAAAGTAATACTCCTTATAACAATCCAAACACACAAGTTTTTTTACTAATTATCCCCAACCTTTCCCACGCAGTGAGTTTTGGCTTATTCTTTGTGATGTTATAATAAAAAAAATTACCAACACATTGAATGATCAATTCGTAGCAAATTAAATTACATACTGTATCGTATGATTGTCGTGTTCGAACCATCATTATGATGAACAGTAGTTATCGTTATTATAGTGCTCGAGCAAAGTAGTATGGGCTGGGTCGAAAAGTATAACAAGTGCACGATACTTCGAAAAAACCTTAACATACTGACATTTTATTGCTCGTACTTGCTTGATCCGACAATACGTATTAGCGTAGGACCCGTCAAAGCGATACTCCTTATAACGATGACAACCCAAAAACACGAGTTTTTTTACCAATTATCCCCACCTTTCCCACGCAGTGAATTTGGCTTATTCTTCTTATCATTGTATAAAAAAATGATGGAATGATCTATTATAATTACCACAACACATTGAACGTCCGGATGATCAATCAATTCATAGCAAAAACCATAACATACTGCCCGTATTAACGTAGGACCCCAGTCATAGCGATACTTCTTATAACGATGACTAATCAAATTTCGATAACGATGACTACCCACGCAGTGTTGTTAATAAAAAAAATTTACCAATGGTTATCGTTGTTACACATACATATACACATAATTATTTATTTGGTCGAAAACTATATAAACCCACCACCACAACAAAAACATTTCTTTTCACATACAACCCACGACATAGGACTTGATAGCTTGACGATTAGAATCGGATGGTAAAAACTTGTGCTTGTACTTAACTTGCTTGACATGTTTGACGATTAGAACGGACGAAACGGATAAACGGACGGAGCGGGCGGTAAAACTTGTGCTTGTACTTAACTTGCTTGACATGTTTGACGATTAGAACGGACGAAATAAACAAACGGACGGAACGGGTGGTAAAAACTTGTGCTTGTTGTGCTTAACTTGCATGGAACTACGTTACGAAAAGCCTGATGGGGATGCCCTATGAGAGAGTCTTTGAAGAGAGCTGAGAACGACGGAGCGAACACACGGAAATTCAAGGAGTGAAAGAGAAAAGTGTATTTTTTTTATTTTGTTGATTGTGATTTTTTTATTATTGGCTCCAGAAATACCTAATGGATTTCTCGGGTCTTGGCATTGCTCGCAAAAGCCAACTGATGAGTCCTGTGAGCTAGGACGAAACCCAAGAATGCTAGTAGACATGTTGCAAAAAATTATCATTATTTATTATCGCATTAGAGCATTTAAATCATTAAAGCACCGTTATTTTAATGCGGCTTCCTCCCGTCTTCCTTACGCAACGAGGAACCTTCGTCACTCGTAACTATCAGAAGCGTCTTAATTTTTTCACTTGTTTTAGTAATTGATAATTGTCGTATTTATTTATTCGACAGTATCACTACAATTTCCACTCATGCCACCCTCTTCATGTATAGGTTTGTCCAAACGTGCCACTTATCAAAAATACCCGAGTTTGGAGATTCTTCGGCCAAAAGAACCTGGAAGGAGATTCTTATAACGATTAATCCTAATTCTCATACATTTTTTCTTTAATTAGAATAATTTGTTAGCCAATACGGCAGGACTTGGACCTTTATTGAAATACATAATTCACTAATAAACGTATGGATCTTAAATAACATATTCGGGACATTAGATTGTTTGAATCGGCTCTTCAGCGGCCGAAATTCATGTACTTTTATGAAAAGACGTTATTTTTTAGACTGACCGCTGATCTCGGAGAGCATCATTCATTTTTGATGAGGATAAGAGAGCCGGGTATGATCTGGTTGCTGATACGAGAAATATATTGTTGGTGCGGCAGTTTAGAATGACGTTGATATGAAACTCACTGTTGAACAAACTATTGAATCTCGAAAAATATATCAACGTGATTTTGATCAGCAAAATTATTTATTAGTCGAATATAATCGGGACATTATTATAGATATGATTACTCAAACGCCAGCTCTTGGATTTCTTACACTAATTTCCTTGCAATAATCTTGATGTAATTCAAATTGATGCAACTTATGGAACAAATAATATGGGATGGGAGTTATAGTGTAATTGATGGCACTGGGTTTCCAATAAGTTAGCTTATAATAGCAGAAGTCAAAAGATCAACAATTGATGAATTTTCCTTTTGCTTTCATGGATAAAGATTTTTGTGAAATAAATGCAATTCAAATTGTATGGCCTGAAACTCAATTGCAATTATGTACTTTGCATTGCCAAGACACGTCCCTCTTTTCACCCAACAAACTAAAGAGAACCGACTTCGATAGGTGAACAATCATCTCAATTATAACTAGATGTAAGGTTGTGTTTTCTGATGAGACAACCTTGTAATTATCTTAGAATCTCTGGTTGGTGTGATCGCATCCCAGGACAACTGTTGCACCAATGGTGAAGCATCCGTTTAAGCTTCACATGTGTAAGCGATTTGTGCACGTGACAAAGTCGGAATGTGCACATTTATACAAAAATATGGATCAGTGTCTGTTCTGCGCGAAATCCTCAATAATCATTTATGAGAATGCAACTAGCATTTATGGTTGTTGGCAATGGATTTTCAGTAGAACAACGATCTGAAACACACCTCAAAGGATCTTCAGAGTGAGTTCAAAGCCCGTCTCCCGAAACGCGTTCTTCTTTGATCATCGTATAGTCACGATCTTTAATCCGACTGAAAATTTTTGGACTTTTCTTAAACGAATGTAAAAAAATAATGACACAAAAAAAGTGTATCACAAGAGATTTTGTTGTGTTGGTTGAGGAGGAGTGGAAGAACCTTTCTGAGGACGTAGTTCTTAATTGCATCGGTAGTATGCTGAATCGTGTTCAAGCTTGTATTGATGCAGAAGGTGAACATACCCGATACTAATATTATATAAGCGTATGTTGCTCAACTTTGCTCAACTTAAAGACATCCAAAAATAATTTTTTGTATTGCATTTATTAATAAAATGTAGCAAATTTTAAATAATTTGACTGCTATTATTTTTTGTCAGATTGTACTGAGAATATAATACAATATCAAATTCTATTTATCTAATATTCTATATATAATATTAATTTTTATATTAATTTATTTATTAATTTATAATACTTTTTGAAGTTAAATATTTATATATTATTATTTGTTAAAAAAATGTATATTTATTACTTATATTAAATTTTTATAAATAACTTAATCTTATTTTTAATGCTATTTATTTTTTTATATTTCTTTTAAAGTTTTGTAATAATTATATGATAGATCTTATATTATATAACAATATAATAAGCACTATATTTTTGTTGAAGTAAAAAATTATTTGAAAATATTGTTCTATAATAAGTTATATTATATATTTATATAAATTTAAAGAAATATATAATTATAATAAAGTAAATATAAATAATTTTTTATTTTTATAGTTTTTTATATAATTATATATAAGAAAAAAATTTGATAAAGCTTATTTTGCCCTTATTAAAAGAGCAAAAAAATATACTAGTACTAAAAATACTTGTCAAAATATCTTAGTAATCATTTACATTTTGTTAAAATAATAATAACTATTAGTAAATAAAGCATAAAAATTCTGTTAAATTTTGAAATCTATCAAAACTAAAATTAAGAATTGTTAAAATTAATAAATTAATAAACTAATATAATAGTAAAAGAATAAAAATTAAATAATTTATTATTAATGAGATTTACTAAAAATTTTATAGTAATTTTATATAAACTAACTAATATTATTATTTTCATCAAAAATTTTATAATTACTTAATTTTTGAATTAATAAAAATTAAAATATATTATAATATCAATTAATATAATTTAAATTAATTTGTTTTTTTATTTTTATATTATATTCTATTATATAATTATATTTAATATATATTATTATTTTTTTAATATTTAAATTATAATACTTAATAATAAATCTATTTTTATATACATTTTGTTTTATTTTTTTTACTGTTTCACTAAATTTATTTATTTTGTATTTTTTACTCTAAATTTTATATTTTTATTATTGATTTATCTTATTTATATTTCTATTTTATCTTTAATTTTATTATTTTTAATCAACTATTCTTATATTTATTTTATTTTTTTTACTCTTGTTACAATTATTCTTTTTATTTCTTAATTTCTTTGTTATAATTATCTATAATCAAATTTGTACTATTATTTTCTTTTTTTATAATATTTCTTTTTACTCAAACTCTTGCTTTTTCTTGTTTTTAATTACTAAAATTACAATTAATTTTTTTGTATTTTTTTTTAATGAATTTGTATAATTTTTCATTTATTTTTTAGCATTTACTCTCTTTTTATATTATTAAGATAATTTGTAAATTATTAATTATTGATTATTATATAAATTATATAAAAGATTAAAAATATATAAAAAAAGAGTTTTTTTCACTAGAAATTTTCATGTTCTTATTTTCTAATTTAATAAAATAACAAAGTTCTTATTTATAATAATTTATTTGTAAATATACTATTATTATTTTTAAATCTTAAAATTACAAGTAGTAAATACTCCTTCACTTTAAATAAACTATTAATATTAGAGAATTGTTATTGGCACACCCCCTCCCCATTTTTGTTATTGGCACCCCTCCACGTGATTCAAAACAGGTCAGTTTGGGTCAGTTCTATAACTGTTCCAAATCACTTAACTCAGAATCACGTGTTCACGTGATCCATGATAATCACATGCAAGTTACACCATAATCACTTTTTACAGATTTCACAATAATTATTAACTTTTAATTATCAAACAAACAAAGGAAATAATGAAATAATTTAAGTAAAATGAACAGAGAAAATAATAAGGTGCTTGTGTCAAATTTGTCATAATAACGTATCAGAGTGATAGGATATGTTTTACTATAATTATTTGTAATTTCATTCAGATTAAGGTATTTTTAATCCTATCCCTTTAACATGTTATTATGACAAATTTGACGCAAGCAAAAATGTGAAAATAAGAAAAACAGATAACAGTATAAAAATTAAAAAATGCGATTTTTACTAGAAACAAAAGAAAAAGAATTTTATGGAATCACAAATTCACACATTAAGATATGTTCGGCTATTATGGTCAGTTTGATGACATCTACCACACTGTCTTTGTCATCTTTCAACGATCTCAAATTCAGACGGATCTCTTTGCATCGATCCTTGATTTTAGTTTCTTGCTTCAACTGGTCTTCCTCATGATCTACTAATAGCAGGATTTTCTGGCACAACAGGAGGTGCATGCATCAGCTCTTCCAATTGTACACAAATAGTTGTTTGCTGGTGTGGCGACCAGAATTGGTATTGCTGCACAAGAGACTCCAGAAGAGGCTGTATATCAGTGTGATCATCATCGATATGGTGTGTGAGATCTCCTAATATTTCAAAATGGTGACCTTGGATCCACCAGTGCTCGTGGATGTCAACTTGCTCCAATGCTTGTCCAGTTAATAGATGTTTGCTGATGATATGTGAACATGGAAGTCCCATTGTGGACCTGAGGATCCCTGTGCAAGAATCCAGAGGTGAATCTTGAGTTGCACTTGATACCTTGATCCACTCATCACGGATCTTCTTCAAAACAAAAATGAATACGTGACACAGAAGAGGTTCAAACAGAACAATCCGGTACATATGTCCTACTTTCATACGCTCAGAAGAGATCATCGCACGAATTTCCTTTGCTTGAGATTCTACTTGCAATACGATCTTATGGTGTACTGATTCAAGATCACCTGTAGATATTTGCAAACACTTTTTAAGAACAGCATGTAAACCTTCCACTCGTGAAGTCATTTTGTTACTGAGATGCAAGTAACGATCAGCCCAGGCAGAAATAAAGTGCTTCTTATATGATATCCAGGTCTCTTGAAGATATTGCAGGACATTGGGTTTGTTCTCATAGCGTTCCAAAAATTTATTCCATTGGGTTGTGAAGTCTTGCTCAGTGACAGATACCGTGATCGCTTGCCACATTTCTATGAACTCAGTCCAATGCTCTTCCGTAGTAAAGTGGCACTTACACTTGGTCAAAATGTTTTTGTTTATGTGCCAAATGCATATAAGATGTTGAGTATTGGGAAAGATTCTACTAATAGCTCTCATCAGTGCTAATTCTCGATTGGTAACCATGACATTAGAGTGAGATAATCCTCAAAATACAAGTCAAAGCCCA